CAAAATCCACTTTTTAATTATCTCCAAGAGTCATAATAACATGGGGAATATTAATTAACTGGGGGAAAAGCAAGATATGAATGATGTTTCTGATTACAATGATGGAAAAATATAGCAAAGTTTCAGTGTGTTTGCTTTTGGGTGGCGGACAGGTGTTTGTTTTCTTCTACTTTCTTTGCTTGCCATTTTCTACAGAATGATGATAATGGGGAAATGAACTTCACTGTAAAAAATTTCTTATCAAACAGACTGCATCACTGCTTTCTGCTGCAATAATTAACAGCAAAACCAATGGCATGCAATAGTTTTCTCCACCTGCATTTTATGATTTGTAACAGATTCAACAAGCCCATATTGCATTCCTGAGAGCATTTTCCTTGCTCACACGGGATTTCTGTCAGAACCTTTCAGTGCATCTTTATTTTGTTCAGAATCACATTCTCTCTAAAAGCTCCATAAAGGCCCCTACCCATGTAATGCCTGATTCTCTTTGCCACTGGACCCCTGGAGATTGGTTGTTGCAAAAACTGTAGCAGCAATAACCAGATGAACATCTATCATGGACCAGGCACCGTGATACATGAAGAAGAAGTACATCTGTTGTGCAAACTGCCTTACAACATCACTCCTCTTCTGCAGTTCAAGAAACTAAAGCTCACACAGGGTAAGTAACTCGGTCAAGGTCACGGAATTTGTAAGTGCCAAAGCTGATATTCAAACTCGGATAAGACTAATTCCGAAATCTAAGCTCTTGTGAAGGAAGACATGCCTTCCAGATCCAGTTCTGCCATTTGCCCTTGAACAAATAATTGATTCCTCAGCTAAAAACTAGATGATCTCGAATCTCCCTTCCCGCTCTAATGTTCTGGTTCGAAAGCTTCCCCGTTCTTTACAGCACATAGAAAACCCTTTGGCGTGAAGACATTTCAGCAACTACTTGTTCAGTTTGTGTTCTGTCTTGTGCATCCTTTGTATGCTGGCAAAGCCCCCGGGGAGCAGTTTTCTTTGCATCTGGCACCGCCTCCCTACGCCAGGAGGATATGTTGCTATTGGCTCTGTAAATGGGAATTTCTAAGAAAATTACTGTCACCATGTCTAGCAGCTCTCTGCTTGAACGAGCACTTCAGATGAAAATGCGATCATCACTTTTAGGGTTCTACACGGACACTAACCTATTCAGGGTCATCTCAACATACACTAGTGGGCCAAAGAGCTCTCACGTCTGGGGAATTCTCCGAATATCAAGTTAGTAAATGTAAGTGAGCCTGCAGAATTGGCTTTAAACTGAAACGTATCCACTGGCCCAATCCTGGTCCCGACTGAAACCCGAATCGCAGGAGGAACATCGCCAGCGCTCCCAGCAGCTCCAGCTGAGGAGCACAGGGTCACACCGGAAGGAAAACAAAGGTACTGCTCTCGAAACAGTCTAGTCCTAGATGCACAGCCAACTTTTGGACCAATTTTTAAAATGATCCAATAAAAGTTAAGTGTCCTTACTTCCAAATTCTCTTTTGTATTTTCTGTTGGCCTCTAACAGAATCACCTTGAAATCTCTGGGACAAGGCACCACTTTGAGAAATCTGCCAGCCCTCCCACACGCGGTTGCATCACACTAGGGTTCTCAGATCTGGCTGAGGAGCTGTATTGTCAGAGCAAAGGAACCGATCCTTATCCTAACGGATAAAATGATCTCCTGGCATATATGCTACCGGGCCTGCCAGCAGCCAGCTCCCCGGTAACAAGTGCTTCAGGAGCCGGGGGCACACGGGGCTCGCCTGGGACCGACACTAACCCCTGGCTGGGTTTGGGGTGGGTGCCGAAGGAGACCCGAGTCCCTCGGGAGTCCACACAGTTGCCAGCAGTGCTAAGTACAAAGAACCAACTAAGATTACATTACATGTCAGGGGAAAACCAAACCTGAAAAACAATTTCTGGCCTTACGTCTCAGGAGTTGCAGGTGAATTAGGCCCTGGAATTTAAAGAGCAGACGAACAAAATAACAGATCCTGGTCTGAGGAGGCAAAGTGAATCACTGAGAAAACGGGAAGACGGAGAAAGTCCGTTTGGTCATAAAAGACGAGCTAGCTGTGGGAACCTGTACGTGGCAGAGAGTGCGTGAACGAGGACTGGCATTTAATCTATAATGAGTTAAGTATTCAAGAAGATGGTATCAGACAGAAAGGCAGAAATTAACAAGCTGAAGGAACATTAGGCTGTCTTCCTGCACAGCCCCAAAGGGGAAAAGGTGTCCTGCCTGCTTTATAAGATGCTCATACAAATCGCAGCCCAAGCCTCCTCTGTGCGGCATGAATCACGTCTCCAAATGCTCTGGTCCTGGAGGCCTCAAGGGAGCCCTGTGCCAGCATCAGCTCGGTAAATCTGATGAAATCTGGTGAAAATGGCAGGCGTTCAGGCCCCCGGGCTCGCCCTGCTTTGAAGGAGGATCACAGAGAGCAGCTTCCAGGCGAAGGCCGTGGCACTGAACCCCACTCGGTGCGAGGCAGCAGGCGGATGCGGGTCAGGAAGGAACGCTCGGGACAAGTCCCAGCACCAGGCTGAGCTGAGCACGAAGAACTTGTGCTCGCACTGTCCCCACACGCACAGTCACCTGGGAGTCGTCTCGGGACTTTTTCACAGCTTTCTGTTAATCTGAGTCAGAAAGCTGACATTAAGGTCTTGTAAGATAAGCTAACACTTGTCAAGAAAGCCGTTTCCACCACCTGGCAAGCATCCGGCCCTCTCGACCAGGCTCATTAGGGGCCTCACTACTTGGAACATAAAACCCACCAGGAGAGTCGGAAGTGAATAAGGGGCCCCTACAGTTCTCAGATTCTGTAATGGAGACAACTAAAAATGCTCTAAGTCATTTTAAAGCCTTAGAATCTTTCTACGAATACAAATTTATATGTAAAATCTGACTTTGCACACATAACATTATCAGCAGAACCGAAAGACAGTATATCCAAATATTACAGTGCTTATACTATCAAGGGGGAAAGAGTGGTTTTTCTTTTCTTATACTTTGTAACACTTGGAATAAATAGGAATATGCATACATGGTTTGCATAAACAAAAACCTCCATGTGTTCGTTCCTTTTAAAGGTCATTTTATAAAATGCAGAATGTGATACAAAAGGGAAAAGAGCTTGCTACTCCCCTTCCCTTCCTGGACTCATTCAGAGATTTACCCACCCAGGAACCGGCTGTCACCTGCGGCCCTGCCTCTCCCTTACTCCCCACATCTGCTCGGTTACCAGGGCTACTTCCAACCTTAACAGTCCTCCCAATTCGACCCGCACCGCTGCCACTCAGCACCCACTGGTAAGATGGCCTCACCACAAGCGTATTCAGGGCTGCCCCCCCCCCCGCCCCACACACACACAAAAGGGCTCCTCAGCTGGTCAGCAGCCCTCCCAGTGCAGCCCTCCACCCCTTCGAGGGCTTTCCCTTCCCACGCTGGCTCCAAGCTCTGACATGGGAAAGGCTCCGCATTGAAGACACGGCTTCCGGGCAGGCGCTGAGATCTAAGTGCAGTCAGCACTCCCGGAGGAAGATGCAGAGACCTCCCCAGGACAAGTGGATGTTCCAAGGGGCTGACCGGGAGAAGGCTGTCACGCGGGGAGGGAAGGCCCTTCTCCTCATCTATGCAGTCCCCCTCGATGACCACCTCCCCCAGGACACGTGCCATCTGGCAGCTCAAGGACAAGGAACCTCTGAAATGACGGCCTGCCAGTCAGACTCGTCTCTCAGTGTCCCAGAGCCCCATGAGCTCAACAACCCGAACCCGAAAGGGAGGCCTGGCCCAGGAAACACAGGCACCTTCCTCTTCCGAAAGGACGCCGCCGTCGGAAGCCGGCTCTTGTCTAACCCGTCCTCCTGAGGCTCAGCCAAAGTCTCCTCCCACAATGCAAATCGGATCCTGCTCGATCCCCAGTGCGGGGCATGCGGGAGGCAGCCAATCAATGATTCTCTCTCATCATTGATGTTTCTATCTCTCTCGCCCTCTCCCTTCCTCTCTGAAATCAATAAAAATATGTATTTTTTAAAAGGCCCATCATAAATGTGAGGAATTTTCATAACTGGAGGCTGATGGTGGTTCTAGAGAGCTTGCCACTCTAGTTCTGATCTTCGGCGCCCTCACTCTCCCCTTCCCAAATCTCAGAAAAAGGAGATGTTTGCTGACCATAATCTAATGCCAACTTTGTACTCTGCAACGTTCTGTTTAGATCATATTCCCCACGCTCTTTTCCTACTATAAACTAAAAGGTAAAGGTGGGGACGCTTCTAGGACAGGTAAGAGAAAAGTTCTTTAAGAAACAAACAAAAAAAGGCAGGATTGCAAACTGCATGCCATCACTGCTTATGTCAATATAGTTTCTTTTATATATATTTTTATTTACTTCTAAAAATATATTTATTGATTTCAGAGAGGAAGGGAGAGTGAGAGAGATAGAAACATCAATGATAAGAATCATTGATCGGCTGCCTCCTGAACGGCCCCTCCTGGGGGATCAAGCCTGCAAACCAGGCATGGGCCCTTGACCAGAATTGAACCCAGGACCCTTCAGTCTGCAGGCCAATGCTCTATCCACTGAGCCACACCAGCTAGGGCTGCCATTTATTTTTAAAAGAAACAAACTACAGGGAGATGACCAGAAGAGTACTAGACTTTTGTTTCAGAATGTGACCTTGATCACTAATAGCTGGAAGTTTGAGATTATGAAATACCTGAAAACAGAAAAGCAAATGTAAATCTGAAGAAATCTGCCTATTTCAATGTGATATGAAGTAGTTTCCCAAAAAAGAATGGTGACGCATGGTTTGCTCCTTTTAAAGGTCATTTTATAAAACGCATTTGAATGGCTCCAGGAAGCAAAGTGAACCACGGCGTGTAATTCACACAGCTGCATGCAGACCCACAGTCCCTCAATATGTCCAGTTTAGAAATAAAGCACCTTTACCGCTCCTGTTTTATCTGAGCTCCTATCTGTACTACTCACCGGAATGTAATAGATGCCCATCTTGGGGGTTTCGTTGGCGGTAAGAAGCATTCCTAAAAATAAACACAATGAGAAGGTCAACACGGGGGAGAAGAAGTGTCCTCTTCTACTTGTTTTCCAATTTGAAGCGTTGGAGGTGCTCAGAGCACAGTGCACACGGCACCTAGGGGTCAGGCCGTGGGGCTGTCCCTGGCCTCCTCGATGGGGCTCCCCAGGGTCAGGGAGCACCTGCACTGGCTGGGGAAGGAGCACTCCCCCCAGGGCGCTCAGGCCCGCACAGTGCGCCATCATTTTCAAGGGGGCAGTTTAAGCTTCAGACACACCGATAACATGCAGTTTCAATGTGCTTGGATTATTCATAAAAATGAGAACGTTAAGAAGAAAGGGTTCTTTCTGTCCATCAGGAACCAAAGGACCAAGGTAAAGCATTTCCCACCAAGTGTCACAGCAAAGCAGTTCCTAATGTTTGAATCCAAGTTCACACCTAACTGAACACAAAACCACTTCAGGGGAATGCTATGTGCAGCTACACCTGAAAAGACCAACACAGAATTGCATAGCTCCTACGATACAAAAATAATTAACTCTCAGGGGAATTCTGACAGATAACCAACAGGGTAGTTAATAATTTAGTCTCCTTGGGCCAGCATTTTAAGAAAGCAAAATTAAAGCAGGGACAACTTCCTGGCATCCAACGCAGGCTTCCCTGTAGCCCAGCAGCAACCTCCGAACCCTCCCTCCTTGGTAAGGAGCCAGTGCGCCCGTGCCTCAGCTCTGCCCTCAGCTCTGCCACACGGTAGGGGCTGCTGCCCACAGTCCCGAAGCTGCTCCCGCCCCGCAGCCCCTCACAGCACATGCACGTTAACACACTGGACTCAGCAACATCTGCGAGTCACCAACTCCGAGGTCAGAGCTGCCGGCACCCCTCCTCTACAGATTAAAAAACAAAACTCCAAACTGGTGTCCCGTCACGAGCTGGAGAACTTAGAGCTGAAATGCAAACTCAAGAGCTCTGTTTTTTAAACACTTTTAAAAATCAACCAAATTATACTTGTTTTAAAAATCCATTTGTAAAACACAGAAGAGGAATCCACAGAGCGAAGATGTTTGGATGATCACACCAATAATCAAAATTAAATATACCAAATGTCAAGGACAATGACTTGATTCTATGTTTTAGGAAGTATCTTTTGCTGCTCTTTTGTGGATACGAAAGCTGTGAAGTGACCTGACGCTGATACAGAACTGGATGTGGGCAGAGCTGAGGTCAGCGGCACTCAGCACACAGGCCTCTCAGCAGAAGCCCACCTGGGACACGACTCCCAAGTGGGAGCTGGCCCGGAACTGGGACCCACCTCCCCAACCAGACACCCACCATGAAAACACACCAAAGCACGCGGCGAGGCCAAGGAAAGCAGGAATGTGTGTCTAATGTAAAGCAAAACAAAAGCCAGAGACATTCTCATAGCTTGTCCTCATGTGGGCGCCTTATCTGGCCCTGGAGACGGACGCTCCCTGAGGTCGTGATGCGCTACCCATGGCCCCCGAGACGTGATTAAAGACGACGTTGTGCGGACTGCAGAGCCATGTCACAACCAATGGAAGGCTCTTGCCGAAGAAATCCCCTCCGCCTGGCTTCCCTGGCAACCCTGAACATTCAACAGGGAACGTTCCATGAGGAAACACACCACATCTCCCCGACAAACCACAGAAAGGGTCTAATTACACCAAAGAATTCAACGCTGAAGTTTCCCACACGGAGCAGGATCTCCCTTGGCCATACATGGACAGACACAAGCTGACCTCCGACCCGGGAGGTCAGGCCTGAAACCAACTGTAAATGAGAAAGACGACCGCAGGGCCTGGGCAGGCAGGTCGGCAGAAATCCAGATGATGATGGGCGAGAGAAGGGAGTGAACCCTGTGCCAGGTGCTTCACATCCCACGTGCTCCTCCCTCCTCTAAGTCGGGGGCACGTGATGTCACTGGGCAGGGCCCCAAGGACGTTACAGAGGACCGAACCCCTCTTTACTCTGTGGGAGGGCACTGACGGAGTGAGAGGCGACTTCACATTTCACAGCAGAGCAGTCTCCACGGCGCTGTAAGGCAGGAGACCTGCACAACCATGAAGCCTGAAGTAGGTCGGCCCGAGTGGAAATCTGTTCTCTCCACCAGAGGTTCTGGAACCAGTGCTTCTGACAGCACGGGGCTGGGGCCGGGCTCTGCCAGCCGTGAGCTCAGCAAGCACGCAGTGAAGCTGATGAGCACCCAAGTCCAAGGGCAGCACTGCCTCTCGGGCGCCCTGATCCACAGAGCCGGCTGAATGAGCAACAGAGTAGGAGCCAAGAGGAGCAGGAGGGCGGAACCATTTCTCAACATTCTGAGCAGCCTCAGTATCAGAAAACCATTACAAAACAGTAACCATGATTCGGCTTTAATTACTCCAAAATGAGTAAGAGAGAAGATAAAGAGAGAAACATTTCAGCTTTTCTAACATATGATTCAACTCAGAATGATTAGGCACAAAACAGAGCAGCGTGGGGGAGAGGCGTGGTGAAGCGAGGGCGAGGGATGGAGCATGTGAATCAACCGCGGGGACCCAGCCCAGGGGAGCAGGGGTACTTGTCAGACTGTGCTTGCTGTCGCATGAAATCAACTATTGGGCTAGTTTTGTGTTTGATTAACCTCTTATCAGTTACTTGACTGTAAGTCAGGGTCTCTGTCCAACACATCACTCTTAAAATGTTTGCCTTTCGGAAAAGTGTACTTTCGCAATGAAGAGCGCTGGCGGTCACCTCAAAGCGAGCGCCCTGCCCAGCCAGCTGGCTCGGCGGCTGAGTGCTGACCAGGCGCTAAGAAGTCGCTGGCACATGCTCGCACTGTGTGCTCGATGCCCAGTGGGGGCCGTGCAGGAGGCAGCTGATGGATGTTTCTCTGTCCATCACCACCAGCCTTCCAACTTCATTCCTCCTGGGACCACCGCACCCGGGCACGTGGCGCCTCCCCACATCTCACGTCATATTGTATGGTATCATGTCGTAGCCGAGCCTATACTGCCCCATCCTAGCATGGCCTCCCCTACCGTACCCTACCCTAGTCTCTTGCTCTTCTTACACTCTTCCCTCACCTGGATCACCTCGCTCCAATGCACCAACCAAATCTCACTCCTCACTCCACACTCACACAGCCTCTGCCAGCTGCTGTGGCTGAAGCCCCCCAGCAGGTCAGAGCGCTGTCTGTACACACAACAGAACTTTCCTGCTTCGCCTGTGTGTCTGTCCTCAGAGCACAACACCGCTTGAATGGGAACTATTCTCACTTTCTCTCAGACCCCCCCAGTCTTCACAGATCTGCCCTGAAGGTATTGTTAGATCCTGAAATCTGCCTTGTAATTTGCATACAACATGCCAACACCCATGGTTTCATAGCCTGTGTATTATCAGGCAACCTCGGACTTCCCAACCCCTAACCTGGATTCCCACGCACCATTACTCATCACATGGAGGAGCTGAAGAGCTCACTAAAACAGCAGCTCACCTGCCACCTGCCTACGCTCTGCCACCAGTTTCTACTGACAGCGAGGCTGGCCGAGGACTGAGTCACTCAGAGGCCACTCTCTGAATCACCCACACCACTTCCTGCTCTTGATTCTTCAAGTACATACAATATCCAAGAACCGTCCTGACAAAGCCAAACCCTGTCTTCAGAAATAAAATGAGTTTAAAACAAATAAAGCATAGCTGGGATTTGTCTCACTGAATGAGCCGTGGCCACATACTGCATACCTGAGTTGGGATAGAGGCAGACATCATTAATGTCATGTTCTGGCTCCAAGGAAGTAAAAATTTTCCCCTGAAAGAGTAAGCAAAAAGGACTCATTAAAATAGTTAAAGGAAGACAGCTTTTGGCAATCTCCTGTAAAGAACATATACTTGGAGATGTAACAACCACACACTGGTATGTGAAGAAATACAATCTTCTAATTTGAATCATAGAATTTAAGTTTTAAAAATATCTTGGAGAATTCATTTGATTAATTTATCAAATACTTTTCATTTTCGAGACAAAGAAACTGAGGCCCAGGGGGAAAAGGTGACTTATCCAAGAAAATACATACAGTTTTAAAGATAGTGTTTACACAAAAGAAAAGGGTAAAGTTTAACATAAAGTTGTACATCAACTTAAAAAAATTCTCATAATCTGGGAAACACACCCTGGTTAAACTTGGTACTCAGGGAAACCAAGAAGGTGAGCTGGTCAGCATGGTAAAATGAGGACACTACCTCCCATACCTAAACCACAGGCTTTGGGGAGACCGACTGAGATAATGAACATGAAATAACTTGCAAAATGAAATCCTGCAAGTACATAATGTGATGGTTATTATATAGTTAAGCCTAAGACATTTTTATTTTAAATGTGAGGGGCAATGTGCTCTTTTTTAAAAATTAAGAGAGGGGCCCTAGCCGGTTTGGTTCAGTGAATAGAGCATCAACCTACAGATTGAAGGGTCCCGGGTTGGATTCTGGTCAAGGGCACATGCCCGGGTTATGGGCTCGATCCCCAGTGGGGGGCATGCAGGAGGCAGCCAATCCATGATTCTCTCTCATCATTGATGTTTCTGTTTCTCTCTCTCTCTCTCTCTCTCTTCCCTCTCTCTGCTTCTCTGAAATCAATAAAAATATATTTAAAAAAATTAAGAGAAGGAAAGTAAGACAAAAAGACCGAAGAAGATGGTATGGGAAAAGGTGATAAGAAAGATAAACAAGGAAAGCCAGTCAAGCAAAACCAAGACATCTGGGTGTTGGTCAGGACGGTGTACTTAGTCATAACAACAATGCCAAAATAAAACTTACTGTGGCAACTACAGCACCATGACTTCCAGAGCCAAGGCGATAAACCCCAACAGCTCCTGCTGCGTTAACTCATTAGCAGAGGCTTCCATGGCGGGGGCGGGGGGTAAAGTATGGGGAAGGCGGGTATTTTGTGTTTAGTGAAAAACAGCAGCCAAGTTCTAATTCAAGACAATAAAACTCACACAACCACCTCCCTTTCTTCTCAAATCCCACTGAAGCAGGAAGGGAAGAGGGAAGAAAAAAGGAAGGGGAAAGAGAACTACAATAGTATGGGATGAAGAAGACGAGTTCCACGTCAGGGAAAACCTTGCCGCAGTTCAGGGCCTGGGAGGCACATCCAAACCGACATCACTCATGACCTTGCACTAGCAGGGAAGCCAGGTCAAGGGAAACTTCTACTTCCCTAATATCTTATGAATTTAAAAAAAGAGTCTCTATTTGTAGTATTAAAAATAGGTACTGTTCAAAGTCCATTCGTTTGGATTACCAGAAAAAGAGCAGAGAAAACCCAGCTACCGCACCACGACACTTCCCAAGAAAACCCTCCCAGCCCAAAGCCAGCCAATGCAAGCAGCTGAGTAGGTTCCCGGTGGCCATCAGGTGATTCTGCCGAGACTGAGACAAGCTGGAAGCCGTCCCCTCCCCTAGCGTCAGCCGAGGCGCCGGAGCCAAGAAGCTCTGAGGGCCGGAGGGGCAGAACACGCCGGAAGGAACTCTGACCTCCACCACAGATCCCAGGGGACTAGAACGTAAGCTCAGGAAAGGTCAACACTTGGGAACCAAAACAGAAGAGAAATGGCCCAAGCAGCCAGAGATTCTGACAAGGAGCCGAGCTGTGATGGGGCTGCTGGCCCCTCTCCCCTGAGCACAGGCAGCCCCTGTAGACACCACGTGAGGCCGCTGGACCTTCCACCCGCTTCATCTCAAAAATGAGTTAAAAGAAAAAAAAATAAAAGAGTGACACTTTAGAACTAAAGATGTTAAGTTTGTTATTAATTAAATGCAAAGAATTCTGAATTAATGTTTTCCTATTTAGTTGATGAATTAATCTTTTACTTCTCTCAAAATACTTAGGTTTTGAAATGAAAAGCAGAGGCAGATTAAAGCCAGTAATATAGGATTTTGTTACTTATTAATACTTGGAGCTTAGGGGACAGAACATCAAATACGCTTAAGAAAATATTATTTTAATAAAAATTTCAACAAAAACATACGTACTGAGTTCTTATTCCACATTTTGATAATTCGAGAGTCTGCAGACAAAATCAAATCTAAAGAATCCTGGAAATGGACCGACTTAATGGGCAGCCCATACTGGTGATCCTTAACTAGCAGTGGCTTATCCGAGCGAAGATCATATAATAAGACCTAAAAGAAAAAATAATTTTTTTAAACATTTTATCTTAAAAAGCAACTTTTAAGTTACAAAGGTGGCTGCCATTTGTTCTACTGCCTTTTTATGAGCACAATGGACACCCTCACCCAGAGTACAAAGACCCCAGTGAGCCAGCAAAAACGCTCTGAAAAAGCTCTTCGGTTACCCCCAGAGCACATGGCTATATGAGTTCAACCCTGAGCAGTTTGTAAGCACACTAAGATTGAGAACTACTGAGCTATACTAAGAAAGGAACAAAAAGGAAGCCCAAAAGAATTTGTGTCATTTGGGAATTCAACAAATACTGGTATACACACTGAGGGCCTACTATGTACCAGGCATGTCACAGCGAGTGACAGAAACCAGCACGACAGACATGCTGAGGGGGGGCATGTCTCTTCTGAGCCCTGCCATGGAGGCAAAAAACCTGGGGCAGCTCGATCTTCATCCCAGGTGACAGGTCCTCTCCAGACCATGAGGGCAGAGGCAGTACAAGTCCTGGAAGCAGGGTCTCAGACCTGTTCTGGGGGGAGAGCAAACTGACAAATGTATGGGCTCTGCCAGGGAGGGAGAAAGGGAGGGAGGCAGGGAGGGAAGGAGAGGGAGGGGGGGTGGAAGGGAGGGAGAAAGAGAAGGAAAGATGGATTGAAACCCCTGCAGCCATTCCACTCGTGCTGAGCTGTGCCCCGATCGCCCGTGCAGGGGGATCTGTAAATAGTGCTAGGTGAGAGACAGATGCCTGGGACAAACACATTTTGGAAATATGTAGTCAATACATTTCTTGTCCACAGGAATTCTCAGAGCCTTCCATGTATATTTAAATGCACTATGAATCCCCAAGAGTGGGAATCTGGCAGATTCCAAACTGTTTCGACCACAGAATTCTGTCCCAGGACACTCTGGGAAAAACAGTTCTAAGCCACAGTCAAGAGAACACACCCTCCTGTAGTTCCGCTCAAGAGCCTCCCAGACCACACACTGAGCTCAGAACCAAAGTGACTCAAGGTGCTGAAAGAACACAGCATCTGGAGGCGCTTTCCACTCTGGCCAAAACGTACAGGGTGGGGCAAAGCAGGTCTACAGTCGTCCGTATGGAAAGAATACAATAAATAATAATAAGAGAATAAACTGTGTTTCGTGCACTCACACTGTAAACCTCCTCCGCCCCCCCACCCCCCCGGTGCAATGCTTCACTTTCTGTCTCCACAGTGAAGAAGTTATGTGGCTGTTTCCCACGACACATACGTGCATCTGGAACACTACAGTGTGGGTTTCCAGCTTAAACACACGTACCTGCCCTGTGGATGTTCCAACTGCCATGGTCAAGGCACCGTTAAATTTCAAAGCAGAGATGGTTGGTAGACTGTTCACCCTGAAAGGCAAAGCATTCCTGGTCCGTGTGGGCACAGCCAAACCTTCTTCTAAGAAACAAACTGATTCTTAATCTTTCCTTCAATTCTCATGGGAAATCACTCTCTCCCCTTCCTTTTAAAAGGCAACTGTATCCAAACTTTGCTAATCAAAACAAAAAATAAGTCTACATATAAATGTAACCAACCTATAAAAACCTGTAGGTTATCTTCAAGAAATATTCTCAAAGCAGCTACCAACAACAACAAAAACTTCTGAAAATATAAAACCAGGTAACAAGACTCCGTCTGACAATGTCTCTCACCTTAATTAAGCCAGGATGAGGCATTACAGAAGCATCCCCTTCTTTCTTAAGAGGAAACATTTTACATTCAGCATGGATATACCCACTTCCCTTTTTGAAGTTAGCTGTGTCAAGGTAAAATAGGAGCACGTGGGGGCCCTGGGATCTGTGAAAGTCCAGGAATGATGAATGGTTATGGCCATGAACCTGGAACAGGCTTCCCCCTCAGCAGCCCAGAGCTTCAGCACCAAAGCCGCGCTGTGTGGAAAGGTGCTGGACGACAGGTCAGAGCCAAAGCAGCCCTCCTCTCATGCCTCCTGCTGCGTCCTTCCACCAGGACCTGCAGGCCAGGCCAGGACTGCCAGCATCCTCATGTCTCTCACGCCACCTAGAGCCTCAGCCCAAAACTACAATGAGCATCATTTGAAACTTGCCTCCTCAGCCTTAGAGGGACACCCTTCTGCTTCACTGCAGCAGTGGATTCCTGGTCCTATCGCTAGACCCTCCCTTCTAAAGTACTGCAGAGAGGAATGCCATCTGGCTTACCCGCTCAGTGAGCTTTCACAGGAGAGGGTTTTTACACAATCATAGAAACTACAACCTCAGACATAAGTCTAAAGAGGTTCCTCCTTTAGTAATGGACCTTAATTTAGTATTGATACATCAGAAGCAGATGAATATTTAAACTGCAAGTTCACGTCTACTTACTCCGAATCTGCTGTGACACTACTTAACGCACAGTCCAACAGGCCAACTCTGCTTCGAACCCGTGGGTCCCAGCACTCCACTCGACCCTAAACACACAGAAACCAGCAACTTCAAACAATAGCTGCTACTGGAAAATTTTTAGATAAATTACCAAGAGAATGCTTCATTGGCCTGATTAGGCATAACAGTATCATAACACATTCAATATAGTTTTACATATTTCCATTAAATCAACATCATGTGTCCCATTTCAAATCCTCATCTCCTAACATAAAAATGACTTGAGTAAAGGCCTAACTTTCATCCACATGGGATTGATTTAATAAACAAATAATGGAACTCTGCCCATATGTTTACAAAAACTAGTTTTGTATTGTAAGTGATTATAGGTATCAATGTATAAAAATGCGCATTTATATACCGTCCCGTTTTAAAAAAAAAGCAACTGGAGAACCATGATAAATTTCTTTTTTGTAAAATCCTTAAAAAAAGTGATACTAATACATATGCACACCTGCACATACACAGAAAAACCCAAAGGGCTAACGCTGCAAACTATTCACTCGTTAGCTCTCGGTGTGCAGCCTGGTGGCTGACAGGCACAGAGGACACTTCTAAGTAATATCCGTCTGACATACTTCCTCTCTACTTTTCTATGAGAATTTTACATTGTAATTAGAAATGCAAATCTAGAAAAACTCCTGACAAGCATGAGGACACTGATTCAGAGGCACTGCGGTTGAAAAGGCACGTGTTGTGTATTTATTGGATGCTACTGTCCAGGACGTACCAACCACAATCCCATCTGCCTTTACGGCGATAATGTCTGCATCAAGGATGCTTCCCTGTTCTCACCAGCACCGTGCGTTATGAAGCTGTCGAGGTGAGGATTATTACCTCCATTTCACCATGAGGAAACAGCCCCAGGGAAAGTAACTAATGAAACTAGCAAGCAGCAGAGAGCGGGGCTCCATGACTCAGTGCCTCCTGTTAAGAACAAGAATGGCGGCCACACTGCTCCGCAGAGCTAGGCTACAGCAGTGACCCCCATCCAGCTCCAGAAGGTCAGGGTCAGAGGGCGCCTCGTCAGCGGCAGAGCGGGGCAGTCGGCAGCAGCTGTAACAGCTTTCCATACGAAGAGCAAGCCAGTGGCTTGTGGCTTCCTTAGCACCTGGCTCCTAGGAGCTGAGCAACTGTCTTTAAACGCAATTTCGTTCATTATCAAACGTAAAACAAATACTTTTACACAATCAAGCCAGTTATGCTCACCTCTACTGTTCCTGTGGCAAACAAGCCGTGCACTGAATTTATGTCACAAACATTATTCTCCCTAAAACAGTAAAGCAATAGGGAGATCATATTAGTGTCCCTCCAGGGCAGTGGTCGGCAAACTGCGGCTCGCAAGCCACATGCGGCTCTTTGGCCCCTTGAGTGTGGCTCTTCCACAAAATACCGACTTCTGCGCATGGGCCACGAAGTTTCAATCGCACTGTACGTGCGCGCCCCAACGTGGTATTTTATTATATATATTGATATATATAAAATACTGAATAATGTCTGGCACACAACAATAATTTTACTATTATTGCTGTTGTTATTACTCAACATTATTATTATTATGATGACAGATTCAGATTCATTCCTAAAAGGACTTCTCTTTAAATAAAACAAAAGTTTAGACAATAATGTATAAAAGGAAAATGAAAAAAAACCTTAACTTTCTGCTAGCAACAATATAAAAGATAATAATTTTTAAATGTTATTCCAAGTTAATTCATAATTTCTCCACAAGAAAATATATCACAAAACAAAACCATGAAGGGAAATTAAAAGAACACAAAAAAATAATAAACTGAATTTTTTAGTGAGTTTTAAAACTTTCAAGTCTATTTTTTAAAAATTAAAAATTTCAAGAAATCACCAGATCTTTTAGCAAATTTTTTGTTTAAGAAAAACTTAATGCTACTCTTTAATTAAATTGCCCAGAGTATTGCTTGATAACAATGTGAGCATCTGGCTCCATCTCCTGGCCCAAATAAATACTGCAGGTTTCTTAAAATAAAATACTCACGCAGCATCAGTTTGTAGAGGATTTAGGTACCGTCCTTGTTCTAGGTTTAACCTATAAACTTCAGAGCTGCAAAGTAACATATAAAATTAAAAATATGGTAAACTAAAAAACAATAAAAAATATGGCAAACTACTATAAACTTTTCTTCAAATAAATATAATTTTTAGAAATATATATATAAAGGGGTAGGCAAAAGTAGGTTTACAGTTATGAGTTCATGAAAATTTATTCTTGCATTATTTATTATTGTATTCTTTTCCATACAAACATCTGTAAACCTGCTTTTGTCCACCCTTGTGTGTGTGTGTGTGTGTGTGTATCCCTCATAAGGCATCGTTTCCTTTTGTAAAATACAAAAGTGTACTCTAAACCTAAAAAACAATTAGCTTGTGTGTAAGTTTGTTCAAGCATATAAGTGATTTAAACCACCCATGTGCCAAGGAAATATTATGAAGTCATTAGGTAGACTATTATTTACAACTAGAGGCCTGGTGCATGAAAAATTCGTGCAGGGGGGAGGGGCGGGGGGGGAATCCCTCAGCCTGACCTGCACCCTCTCCAATCCAGGAGCCCTCAGGGGATGTCCTACTGACGGCTTGGCCCAACTCCCTGTGGTTCTCTGCTCTCTGCGGGGCCTGCCTGCTCCACACCACAGCGACGGCCAAGTAGGCCCTGCTGGGTGCTGTCTGCGGCTCCGCTTGCGGGTCACCGCGGGGGCTCACATTGCCGGGGTGACGCTGCCAGCATCCTGCCCCGGCCGCTATGGGCACTGCCATCCTTTGTCACGGAGTGACGGTTAATTTGCATATTACTCTTTTACTAGCTAGGATAAGATGGAGAATACAAGATCCAAAATGTACCTATATCTATAATAATAAAAGCGTATATGCTAATTAGACTGGAAGTCCTTCCAAACGAAGCTGGGGCTGCGAGGGAAGCCTGGATCCCGGGTGCCTGCCAGAGGCTGGAGGGAAGACAGGGTCCCGGGTGCCAGAGAGAAGCTGGCGCTGGCAGCCAGGGGAAGAAGGACCTACTCTTGCACGAATTTCGTGCACCGGGCCTCTAGTGTGTATATAAGAAAAGACTTAAAGGAAATACAATGAAAGATCAATAAGGGTTTCCTCTGGATAAGAGATTTTTTTTTTCTTCTTTATGCTTTTTTATATTTTCCAATTTTTTATAGTGGATATGTATTATTTTTATAATCATAAAGAGGTAATATTTAAGAATAAAAAGCTTTTAAATGCCATGCAATGGTGCTAAGAAACGGACTTCCCCACTCATATGCCCCTCTTAGGTCACCCGTGTCTCTAGCTTTAGAGCACCATGCTAAGGAGAGTCAAGGATGTAGTTCCTAAATGGGCCAGTCACTTTGGAACTACACCCTGTGAGCAACTGAAAGGCAGGCATCATGGCTTATTCTTCTTTTAATTCTCCTCGACGTTGGGAACAGCAGTTGTCTGGGGAAACGAGGTGGAAAGGAGAAAACAAAGGGTGTCAGGCCCAATACCTTGCGCCAACGAAGTACAAGTCGCAGGACGGATAATGGTAGGAGAAGTCCCTCCCGAACTTCGGTATTCTGGTTTTGTAGTAAAAGCCCGACTGGGAGTGGAATTCAATGTATCTATCATTATGTAAGAAGACAATCTGAAAACGAAACAGGAAAATTAGTTTGCTTAGGTTTCCAGGTAGAGTGTTTATTTCATCATCACTAAAACTAGCTAAGCTAGAAAACCTCTGGCCTCCCTCACCCTCCTTTCTCTTTGTAAACGCACAAGTATATAAGCACAACTCTCCATCATGATTAAAATTGTGATGAAGAATCAAACCTCTCCAGTGGGTACTCAATGCCTTCCTGCATCTTAGGCAGTTTTTCTAACGAAAGGCTTAAAACAAATGCCCCCCCCCCAAAAAAATAAAAATAAAAATAAAAACAAAAAAACAAATGGCCCTCCCTTATCTGGCACCACCACTTTATAACACAGAGCACTGCTCAGTAACTTAAATGAGTAATTTCCCACTTTGATAATCTCACAATTATCACACAGGGTTCGATAAACTTGTAAAAACTGAACTTTAATGTATTACAAAGGCATCTTTAAAATCTTCAGGTGGTATTTAAAAGCAAATTTATCAATATCTAGATCAAACACATTATAAAATTACATGTCCCAAACACATGACAAATGGCTACCACAGGCAAAAGGATAAACTATACTCCACAGTTTCCAGAACTGAACACAATATATAAAGCCATGTCAGCTCAGGAAATTCAATTTCCTCCAAGGTGACATCTGACATTTAAATTTTTCCATTGAAATTGAATAAGGCAAAGAAAGAAAAGAAAAAAAATGTATATAATTGGCTGTTTTTTGACCTGTTTCAGAATATGCCATGATTTTTATCTGCAGGGTTAATAAAATTAAACATACAGCATACTATTTTACTTTACACCTACGAATATGAAAGCAACCTGGCAAATAACCCCACGTTTAATGCAATGAAAATCACACACCTGGAATCTAAGATGGCCTGAAAAAACATGACTGCTCCCAATTCTTAAAAATACAGGTAAGGTTTCGTATGTGACGTGGAAACTTTATTTTGATATTAAACTAGAAAAAGCTATCTCTATCACAGTTTTATTTATTTTTCTATTTTTTTTCTATCACAGTTTTAAAAGATACTACATATTATACATGTGACAAATTAAAATATATTGATAGAAAAATGAAAGGTTTTACTACACAGCCATTTTAAGTTAGCAATGGGAACATCAAAAAGATACTTATAAAAATAAATTCCACTCACTCATGTATTGATTGCCAGTACAAACCAATCAAACGTACCTTTGAATAGTCATCAGACAATGTTTCAAAGGTGACAACTGGAAGATAAGAAACAGTAGGAAAAAACAATCAATTCTCAAGTTTTTAATAAAAAGGTAAACTTAATGCAAAGATCCTAATTCAACACAAAAATTATATACAAATGCTGGGTTTTTCTTGTTTTTGCCCCTACATAAAACAAGAACAAAGTTGCCATGTTATGCTGCTCCCAAAACACCAAATGGAAAGTTTAAAGCTTTATAATTTCTCAGTACTGGCCAATTAGATTTTCTGCAGAACTGAAGGCAATTAAATATAAATTCACAAAACATAATGACTTCTAAATGTTGCCCCAATTTTTCTGAGATGTTCAAAATAAATAGGTATTAAGAACAATCACAAACTGTTGCTTTAAAAAGGGTAACAGTAACTTCGTACCCATTCATAGTGTATCTGGTAAACTAACATAAAGAGGGAAAACAGGTGTTATCAGCAGCACATGGCGTCTGTATTGGGTGAAACAAGTCAGGCGGAGACAGAGCCCATCCTTTTCCCTGACAAAAACACCTGAATGTTCCCGTTTCACTGCCCTCTGTGCTAGACAGAATTAGCAAGACCCACTGACCTTCCCGTCCACAGCCCCCTTTTCTGGAGTGGAACCTGTGAATGTGACGAGACACCACTCCCGTGACTGTCACATTATATGGCCAGGGGGAGGTTTATAATCACAGGAGCCCTTTAAAAGCAGAGCTTTCTCCCGCTGGCAGAAGGGAAGGAGCCAATGAGCTGCTGTGGTCTGAAGGCGGAGGGACCAGCTGAGGAGGAATGCCGGCGGCCTCTGGAAGCTGAGCATGGCCCGAGGATGAAGGCCAGTGGGAAACAGGACTCAAGTCCTACAACTGCAACCAACTGCATCCTGCCAACCTGGAAGCCTGGAGGCGGACCCCACCAGGCTGGCCCCTGGAGCGCAGCCTGAGCACAGGACGCGGCAGAGCCTGGATGGACTTCGCCTACAGACCTGTGAGCTCATCGTGGGTGTTTACGGTCATTTGTTACACAGCAAAGAAAACTAATACACAACCCATTCCCGTTTTAACAGGCAGAAAAGATGCCAAACATAAAAAGCTGGTTTCATGAATTCAAATTTAACCTTTTACTTACCTTCTGAATCTAAACACCTTTCAAACTTCAAGGATAATTGATAGGTGTCATAGCATCGAACCCGAGGTTTATATGTTCCTATAAAGAAATTAATGAGATGTAAAACCTAAAGGACACACTCCCCGTTGTCAGTACCCTGCAGATATGCTGAGTATACTCTCTGTTCAGAGGTAAGTAGGATTCACTGTAACCATAGCAAAGGAGAAGAATGTAGAAGCAATCCTCCCCAACATCCCCAGGGGAAAGGAGCAAGGATATAAGCAAGCAACTTACAGGAAATGAAATACAAATAATTAACGCACCTCACAAATAATCTAACAAGGCTGATTACAACAGTAAAATCGTTTTTTGTCCATCAGAATGGCTACTATGGTGCTAAGGTGAGGGTGTTAAGAAAAGTTCTCTCATACACTATTGGTGATTACTATAAATTGTGACAACTTCTCTGGAGGCCAACCTGGCAATATCTGTAAACTATGTGATGTTTATACATCTTGAACATGTACTGCAACACATACAAATTCGTCCTATAGAAACACACCCACAAGTGTACCAAAGACATGAAGAATGTTCACTGCAGCACTGTTTACAAATGGCCAAGAATGGAAAGCAATAAAATGTCCGCTGACAGGAAATGGTTACATAGACGAGGGTAAGTCTTCATACAGATCATAAAGAGGACACAGACATGGAAAGCTGCCAAAATGTAGTACAAAGTGAGAGAGAGAGAACAGAGAGCACGAGTGAGCGCTGAGACTGGTGTCTGCAATATGATCCCATTTTTGTAAAACTCAACAATGATGATGTTAGCGCTTTGTACAGAAAAATTTAGAGGAATAAGCAGTGAAATTTTAGGGCCTTTCACATTCTATCTTTACACTTCTGTAAAGTTTGCATTTTATATAAGTTTATCATGTTTGCAATAAGAAAAAGACTGATTTTTTAAAACAAATTAAGATACTTTTAAAAGAAAGGAATGCGGTAGTCCTAAGTTCACTGGCAAGTATCAAAGCCCAAGGTCTCTTTTTAAAGCAGTACAGTGTATAGCCCTGGCCGGTGTGGCTCAGTTGGTTGGAGCGTCGTCCTATACACCAAAATGTGGCAGCTTCTATCCCAGTCAGGGCACATGTCCAGGTTGCGGGTTCAATCCCCATGAGGGAGGCAACTGATTGATGTTTCTCTCACTCCCTTCCTCGCTCTCTAAAATCAATGGAAACATGACCTCAGGTGAGGATTTAAAAACAAAACACATGCTATACAGTCAAGTGCCGATGGGGACACATTCTGAAAAATTAGGCATCATTAGGCGATGTCATCATTGCGCTAATTGTATTGGGTGCACTCACACAGACCTAGGTGGTACAGTCCACGACTATAATTGTATGTGCTGTAGTTTTACACGACTGACAGCGCCGTGGGTTTGTTTACACCAACATCACCACTAACCCGTGAGCAATGTATTGTGCTCTGACATTACATGGCTCGGACATCACAAGGTGATAGGAATTTGTTAGCTAATGAGACCATTTTTGTATACATAGCCATCATTGACCAAAATGTCATTATGCAGAATAGGACTATATACAGAATATAGATTACACATATAATATGCATAGTGTGTATATTATGTGTAATTATTTACATACTAGAAGCCCGATGCATGAAATTTGTGCAAAGGGCTCAGCCCATCACAGCCCCGGCTGCCTTGCAGCCCCGCCCACTGGTTGTTCCTGAAGGTCGTGCTGTCCAGTCTAATAAGCATATTAGCTCTTTATTATATAGGATATAAAACTATATCTATTCTAAATATAAAGCTGGAGGCTAGAAACATAAACAGTGTTACTACTGAGACAACCATTCACAAAGAACAAAAGAGACTGGCATGTAGATGCACAGAAGTTCTGTCAAATAAGAAAGTGGTTGAAAAAGGGACAAAGGTGGATAATGTTAAGCCAGCAAAAAAAAAATGTATGTGGACAACACACAGGATGTATGTACCAAAATCACAGCCAAAAATGGCTGGGTGTTAATGTGTTAAGTGATAATACATTAAATGTCCCCACAGTCGTGGCTCTTTGATACCGATGAACACTGCTAATACAAACCTTAGTGACGTAAAAATATTAAGTATATGACACAGAAAATTATGTTAAAAGACCTTTCTAGGAACTCTCCTTTATTGCTGGTGGGAGTGTAACATGATCTGACCACTGTGGGAAAAAGCCTGGCAGCTTTCTCTCAAACTAAGCATACACCGACCCTGGGGCCTAGCAATGTCCTCCAAACATACTAGTACACGGCGCTTTATGAACAACAGCCAAAAACAGGCGAGGGCAGGCGTCCATCTGATGGAGAAGGATAAATAAAATGTGGTCTATTCCTGCAAGGAAATACCATTTGGTAATTTAAAAAGGACAACATATTGACACATATAACAACACATAAATCTCAAATATGAAGCCCTAGGTATATGACCGCATTTATATAAAGTTCTAAGACAGACTAAACTTGTCTGCAGTAAAAAAGAAAAAGCAGAGCAGTGGGCGCCTGCGCATGGGTGGGAGCAGGGCCGGCTGTGAGGTACATCACGGAAGCATCTGGGTGAACGGAATGTTCTACACCTCGAGAGCGGTTTTGGCTACATAGGTATTGCATTTGTCAAAACTCATCACAGTTAAGATCTGTGCATCTCAATGTATGTAAATTTACGTTAAAAAGCCATAAATAGCCCTAGTTGGTTTGGCTCAGTGGATAGAGCGTCAGCCTGAGGACTGAAGGGTCCTAGGTTCGATTCCAGCCAAGGGCACATGCCTGGGTTGCGGGCTCAGTTCCCAGTGGGGGGCGTGCAGGAGGCAGCCGGTCAATGATTCTCTCTCATCATTGATGTTTCTATCTCCCTCTCCCTTCCTGTCTAAAATCAATAAAATATTTTTTTTTAAAAAAGCCATAAATAAATATTGAACTGGAGTTAATGATATACACGCTGAGGTCTGTAGGGGTGGAGTATACTGATATCTGCAATTTGCCCTGAAATGCATTAAAAGCCAAGATGGGTGATGGGTGGACAGATAGACATGTAATGAAGCAAGTACAGCAAACTGCTGAAGAATCAAGGGGATGGGTAATGGATGGTCACTGCACAACTTTTTCAATGTTTCTACAGTTTTAAATTTTTTTATAATGAAGTGATAGGGAAATTTAAAAAGTGACCTATGCCATCATATTTCCTGATATAAAATGTACATAAATCATAACCAAAAAGATGCTTACCAGTTGCTAAAATATATTGTCCATCTTTTGAAACCTTAATAGTGGTACAAACAGTAGGCATTTCAAAATCCTGAATAAGTTCAATTCTCCTCCGGACATCTACAAAGAGAGAAAATGAGCAGCTGATCTGTTATAAAAGGCTAACATATTAGCTTTTAATTAGGTAAAGTCAAATCCCACACTCACCAGGAACACATCAACCACAACAAGAGATTTCTTAAGAAGAAAGCAGTTTGCTTTCCTGCGTAGTTGTACACCTTCACTTAAGTACGGTAGCCATAAATGAGCGCAAGGTTTCTAACATGGACGCCGGGATTCGCTTCCTCCTCACGGGAAGTCATGCTCAAGAAGGAGGCAGCTGATAGAATAACTGGTCTCACACAGCCTGAGCGAACAAGCTTGCGGCAAAGGCGAGGGACTGAGATTTCCTTCGACAACAGAGCCTGGGACCCTAAAGGGCCAGAAGTCTCTGGCTGCAGTGGGACAAACAATACTCACCCACATCTTTCTTCTGTAGTGCTCTCTTCTTCCTGTCAGAAAGCCACTAGAGAAAACGAAGAGACTTTATTTTAAAACATGTTTACTTGAATTGTTTTTCTGCTGGCAAAAATAACACATGCTCACATTAAAAAAATGTTAAACCTTACACAACAAATACATAACAGAGAAAGGAAAAATATTCTGTAATCCTAACCCTACTGTTAACATACCCTCTGGATATTTTTCTTGTACATATTTACATATATTAGACAATACATTTTTAGAACTGTACCATATTTTAAACAAGGGAAAATTAATTCATCTAATCAATCTAAGAGAAAGCAGTAAGCTTCAAATATTATGGGTTATAACTAATATATGGAACTCAGTCTATTTAAGTGAAATTTTAAAAAGCAAGCCATTAAGCCCTAGCCAGTTTGGCTCAGTGGATAGAGTGTTGGCCTGGGGACTAAAAGGTCCCAGGTTCGATTCCAGTCAAGGGCACATGCCCAGGTTGTGGGCTCAATCCCCAGTGTGTATGTGTAGGGGGGGCAGGGGGGGGCGCGGGGGTGTGTGCAGGAGGCAGCCGATCAATGATTCTCTCTCATCATTGATGTTTCTATCTCTCTCTCCTTCTCCCTTCCTCTCTAAAATCAATAAAATAATAATCATTAAAAATAAATAAAAATAAAAAGCAAGCCATTAAAAGGAGAACATTTCTTAAAAGTATGTTTACAAAGAACAAAACTAGATAAATAACTGACTAAATAGCTGATGCTTGGTAAGAAGGCAATGATACTTTTGAAAGTCATATTTACTGGGTTACCACATTCTGCCCGGTAATTAACGTCCCCCGGCCTAGCAGCAGCATAACGACATGCCTGATTATGATGCAGCATTAATCAATCACGATTACCCTAAAGCAGCGGCTCTCAACCAAGGGCAACTTGCCCCCAAAGGGCATTTGGCAATTCCTAAGACACATCTGGTTGTCACAACTGGGGGTGTACTCTTGGCATCCGGTGAGGAGAGGTCAGAGTTGCTGCCAAATACCCGACAATGCCCAGGACAGCCCCACAGCAAAGAACTGTTCAGCCCAAAATGTCAATAATGATAAACCCTGCCCTAGAGGATGAAAGAAAAGTAACGATGTCATTTCTAAAAGCACAGCCCAATGTACAGCCCATGTTAGACACATGATATGTCATCTTTAGGACTCTCTGATATGGCAGACTCACCACTCAAAACCCTAAGTACCTAGTATAACACCTGACGCGGTGACTACATTTGAAAACATATCATACTGCCCTGGCTGGTTTGGCTCAGTGGATAGAGCGTCGGCCTGCACACTGAAGGGTTGTTCAATTCTAGTCAAGGGCACATGCCCAGGTTGTGGGCTCGATCCCCAGTGGGGGGCGTGCAGGAGGCAGCCAATCAATTATTCTCTCGTCACTGATGTTTCTATCTCTCTTTCACTCTCCCTTCCTCTCTGAAATCAATAAAAATATATTTTAAAAAGAAAACATATAATACTTTGAAGGGCCTGAGTTTGAGTCAGGCTTTCCTCTGTACTTAGTGCACTAATTTATAGGGTTATGCTGGTCTCTGATTTTATTTTAGGCAGCAATGTTTCAATTAATGGTGATGTCACAGTATATTTCTGGGCACTCGATATATGCTTTCCTATCAACCTAACGCAAGCAGAACAAAGGCACACGACCAGGCTTCCCCCTCTAGGGGATCCGTTTCCTCCTCACAGGCAGTCATGCTCAACAGGGAGGCAGTTGATACAATAACTGGTCTCACACAGCCTGAGCGAAATGCTCGAAGCAAAGGAAAGGAGACGGAGATGTCCTTCCATCAGAGCCTGGGACCCTAGAGGGCCAGAGCCTCTAACACAGTGATGATGGGAAGTTCCCTTCAGGAGTTTCTGTACAGACAGACAGCACTGAGCAGAGCAAACGAGACTAAGACCCCACATGTGGCATGAACAGTAAGTCTACAGTTAAAAAAAAAAAAGTTCGCCAAAGAACTGAAAATTGTCACTAATGCCAGCCGTCCCCTCTATAGAGACCGGCACGTGACCGCTGCCAAGCAATCTCATAGACACCCAGGACGGGCTCTGGAAATGCGGGTGCTCTAACATTCTCCCACTCACCAGGCCTCGCTGCTGCTGAGAAGGGAAAAGACCCTTTACCTCACCTTTGAAGCAGGTAAAGAAAAAGGAGCAGTTTAAGTCAGAATTACCTTAAACGAAGACAAGAGAGATCGTCATACTAACATACACACAGCTGTTTACTCAACATTTCCACTTGATGTTACTAGGGCTTCAAACCTTAAGTAGCAGAAATAAAACTCTGATACCTTCTGCTCATTAGCTCCCCGTCCCCATCATGTAGCCGGGTGTTCAGATCCAAAACCCAGGAGTTCTCTCCGGATTCCTTCCTCCCCTTCACCTGACGCCTCCTCGCCACCACCCAATCCATCAGCAAGTCCCATCAGCCCATACCTCCCGAGTCCCACCGCGGCTTAGCGCAGCGGTTCTCAACCTGTGGGTCGCGACCCCTTTGGCGGTCGAACGACCCTTTCACAGGGGTCGCCTAAGACCATCCTGCATATCAGATATTTACATTACGATTCATAACAGTAGCAACATTACAGTTATGAAGTAGCAACGAAAATAATTTTATGTTTGGGTCACAATATGAGGAACTGTATTTAAAGGGCCAGGAGGTTGAGAACCACTGTTTTTTTTTTAGCCTCTCCTCTGCGACCGTTCTAGCCCACGCCACCCAGATCTCCCAGCTGGACATCCACACGTGACAACCCCGGGGCCCAGCAGGCACACCTCTCGTCTACCCCTGACCTGACCCATCCCCACGCGTGCCCTCCCCAGCCATGGTAACTGCCACACAGCAGCCCCGTTTGAAACCCAACAACGACGTCCAACAGCACTAAGAAACCCTCACCTTCCCTTGGCCGAGGAGCCAACCTCTCCACCGTCATCTGCCCCATTCTCTCCCCTTGAGCACGTCACCGTCACACCTGGGCCTCTTCTGTGCCTCCAACGTGCCAAGCGTATCCCCCTGTGGGGCATTTTTTTCCTCGTTTTATCATCCACGCTTCTGCTCAGATGTCCCTCTTGGAGAGAGACCCCCCTGAAGGCTGTATCCCCATCACCTGGCCCCACAGCCCTCCTCCCGTCTCCAGCACCGGCCGCATGGAAGCTTCTCCTGGTGTGCTGCTCAGTCACCTTCCCCAGCAGAACCGCAGCAGCAGGGGCACCGCGCCTCCCCGCACTCGAACGGGCTGCCTGTGGCAGTCACATCTCGGCACGCGTGTGGGTGAACAAGATGAGGACGGTCACGTGTGGAGAGCAGCCGGAAGACCAGGAGGCCGGGAACCTGGATTCTGAGAGGGAAGGGAGAACCTAACCGCTGGCTCCAGGTCTTTCAGGGGTGGACACACGGAGGGAGAGCTACACTGACAGCTTTCCCAGGGCGGGACCAGGCCAGCAGCAAGCAGCGTGTTATACGGAGCAGCGGTCCCCAACCTTTCCGACCCTCGGTTCCCCGGCTGGCGACCGCCGATACAGATTTTTTTTTATATATTTTTATTGATTTCAGAGAGGAAGGGAGAGGGAGAGAGAGAGATAGAAACATCAATGATGAGAGAGAATCATTAATCGGCTGCCTCCTGCACACCCCACACTGGGGATCAAGCCCGCAACCGGGCATGTGCCCTGACCGGGAATCGAACTGGTAACCTCTTGGTTCCTGGGTCGATGCTCAACCGCTGAGCCACACCCAGCTGGGCCGATACAGATCTTTTATTGATTTCAGAGAGGAAGGGAGGGAGGAAGGGAGAGATACGGCAGAAACATCAACGATGAGAGAGAATCACGGATGGGCTGCCTCCTACTTTGGGGATCGAGCCGCCACCGGGGCCTGTGCCCTGACCTGAGGGAACCATGACCTCCTGGCTCATAGGTCCACGCTCATGCCCTGAGCCGCCAGCTGGGCTAAAGCGGAATGTTTACACCCACTCTCCAACAGGGGACCTGCAGATGTGAGGGCGCTCCTGGGAAATGTTTCCTCTCACTGCAAGTGGATGGACACAAACTCCACCCTCACTTACAAGAGAGAAAAGCCAAACTTTAGGCAGCGGTTCTCAACCTGTGGGTCGCGACCTCTTTGGCGGTCAAACGACCCTTTCACAGGGGTCGCCTAAGACCATCCTGCATATCAGATATTTACATGACGATTCATAACAGTAGCAACATGACAGTTATGAAGTAGCAACGAAAATAATGTTACGGTTGGGTCACAACATGAGGAACTGTATTTAAAGGGCCAGAAGGTTGAGAACCACTACTTTAGAGCTACTCGTGCCGCCCGGGGAAGCGGCCTCCCAGATCTGCTGTAACGTAACCGTGAGATGAGGAGAGAACCGCTCATTTCCCAGCCCCTGCCCACTCTCTGCCCTAAGATGCCGGGAAATCACTACGGCCCGCAAGGTTCAAGCGCCCTGCCCGGCCCGCCTGGCTCAGGGGCTGGGCATCAACCCGTGAACCAGGAGGTCGGGGCACATGCCGGGTTGCGGGCTCGATCCTGGGGGGGTGGGGAGGGGAGGGCGTGCAGGAGGCAGCCCATCCGTGATCCTCTCTCATCACTGATACGTCTCCCTCTCCTTCTCCCTTTCTCTCTAAAATCAATACAAAGTGCATTTGAACGGGCGTTAAAAGGAGGGAGACCTGTCTGTCAGCCACCCCGTCAGGTCTCCTCCTCGTGACAGCGGCTGCGAACAGCCCCAGACGCGCAGAGGGACGCGTCCTCCGTCCTACAAGTTCCCTTACAGCTCACGGACCGGCTCGCCCCGGTGCTCGTCTCCCGGCGCCCACGGCTCCCCGGCACCGGCTCCG